GCGTTCCACCACACCCCCTGGTCCACACATCATTCACCAGGATTTTAACCAACACAACAGAGATTTGGAGGCTGGCACGGCCGATGCCGCACCTAGGCGTGCCGCCAACGACTGGCTCGGATCCCACACTGTGGTGGGAGTGCCATAAAGGCCACATTAAAAAGGAGCCATTGCAGCCTGACTCTCAGACCGCCTCCCGTTAAGGAGGAGGTCCAAGGTACCCCGTCAGTTGGCAACCTTCCAAGCCACGGCTTTTAGCGCACCGTGAAAGCTTCAAGCGCGTCAGATTGTTTATAGTGAGGAGATAGTGCGCTGAGTCGTCGACCTCACTCTCCCTTCCCATTCCCACACCCCAGCCGCCGTGCGAGCCGGTCGGCAAACTGGAGTGGTGGATGGGCGCGGTGGCTGCCACGGTCGACTGACCGTGACTGCGCGCGCCACAGCACAACCTGGCCCCCCATACACACACAAACACCAGGATTTCACACAACGGGGGTTGAACGGCGTGTCTCTCACTTGCGTGAGAGGGCCGTGGAAGGTGCTGCTTCAGCCCATCCCCAACCCACCAGTCCGCCACTACACACAACACACACACAACGTGACGAACTGCGTGAACTGAGAGCAGACCTCAATCAGCAACCTTCCTATCCACGACGCTTGACGTGTCGGGATAGTCTCGGACACAAGTCACCCGTGCAGCCGAAGCCGCGTGGGAACCGAGTCGAGATGCACACTTCCCACTTGCGTGGAAGGTGGCAGTTGGTGCATGCGGTGGGTAAGTGTTGATGTGTGTTGGTGATGGTGGAGGAGGGTAGGGAGCGTGTGGTGTAACCGGCGGTTGTCTACCGCAGGTCGTCGTGGATGCGCATGTGGCCGAATAGACCCATGCGATGCGTGAAGGTGCGTGGGCAGTGGAGGCGAGTGCGCTGGGTGTAGGTTGGTGCTTCAGGCACTGGTTCGCCGGTCTCTGTGCGATGGATTCGCAAGTGACCGACCAGGCCGATGCGTGAGGTGAAGGTGCGATCGCAGTGAGGGCAGGTGTAGTCCTGATTCTCATTGCTGGAGTCAGGAGAGGCGGGGGTGGTGCCGGTTGTTGTCGCGGTCGGAGATGTGCGAGACGGCTGCCTGAGCGGCCGCTGTTGGGGCAGTGGTGGTGGTGGTGGGGGTGGTGATGGAGGAGGCAGAGGAGGAGGATGGAAGTGGTGGTGCAGAAGAATTCACAGAGTTATTCGGCGGCAGAGAGGACGAGGATGACGCGGCCGGGGGGATGAAAGTTGGTGCAGTTCGAGAGGTACAGTTGATCCGAATATGTCCAACAAGGCCGATCCGAGCCCGGAATGTCCGCTTACATCGAGGACACGTTGGAAGCAGTTGTGCGGCAGCGTTGCTGACTGGGCGCAGTTGGGATTTGCGGGCTTCGCGTTTCGCTTTGGCGGCGGCGATGCGGTTGGCTTCGTGGATAGCAGCGCCCGCCTTCACTGTTCTCCTCCATGCCGGACGATCGCAGGCGAGCTCTTCCCAGTTGGTCGGGTTGATTTGCAGTAGCTTCAGGGAGGACTTCAGGGTATCCTTGTATCGACGAATTGGGCCTCCTTGACGACGAGAACCTGTCGCGACGTCTCCGTAGAAGAGTCGTTTGGGTAGCCGCTCGTCGTCCATGCGCACCAGGTGGCCGCTCCAGCGCAGCTGCATTTGTCTCAACATGGAGTAGATGCTGAGCATTCCCGTTCCTTCCAGCACATCAGTGTCGCGGATGCGATCCTGCCAGTTCAGCCGCAGGATGCGACGAAGACAACTGAGGTGGAAGTGGTTCAGACGGCGTGCCTGCCTCGTGTACACCGTCCAGGTCTCTGCTCCGTACAGTAGCGTCGGCAGGATAACGGCCTTGTACATCTTCAGCTTCGTGTTCAGTTGAAGACCGTGACGATTCCAAACTGTGCTTTGGGGACGACCAAAGGCTTGACTGGCTTTCGAGATCCTGTTGGCGACTTCGTCATCAATCTTGGTGGTGCGGGAGAGATTACTGCCCAGGTACGGGAAGTTCTCCACCACTTGCAGTAGGGTCCCATTCACGCTGATTTGCGGCGACGCGTTGGGGGCTGTGGCTGAGTTGGGTGGCGGTTGGTGCATCACCACCGTCTTCTGCGTGTTAATGACCAGACCGAAATTCTCGCAGGCGGCGGAGAACAGGTCCATGCTCCGTTGCATCTCCTCTTCTGAGGTGGTGTTCAGGGCGCAGTTGTCGGCGAAGAGGAGTTCGTGAACGGTTGTTGTGGATACGCGTGATTGGAAGTGCATCCGCCATTGATTCAGCAGGTGACCGTCCGTCCTGTAGGCGATGCGAATCCCGGGGCGTTCGTCGCGGTAGGCGTCCATCAGCATGGCAGAGAACATAAGACTGAAGAGGGTTGGTGCCAGCACGCATCCCTGCTTCACTCCGTTAGTCACTGCGAATGCCTCTGAGACAGCTCCGTTGTCCGTGACTCGCGCCATCATACCGTCGTGCAGCTGACGCACCATCTGAGTGAATCGCTCTGGACAGCCGAATTTCTGCAGGATCTTCCACAGTCCTTCACGATTCACCATGTCGAAGGCTTTCGTCAGGTCCACGTAAGGTAGAGTACAGGTGGGTCCGCATCTCCTGGCACCTTTCCTGAATTTGACGGGCAGCGAAGATCATATCCGTGGTCCCGCGATGACGACGGAAGCCGCACTGGCTTTCCGGCAGAAGGCCCTGTTCCAGTTGGTTATTGAGGCGGTTGAGAAGGATGCGGGCGAAGATCTTACCGGCGATGTTTAGCAAGGAGATGCCGCGGTGATTGTCGCAGACTTGGCGATTCCCTTTTCGCTTGTATAGGTGCACTATTGTTGCGTCCTTGAAATCTTGCGGGACTTCACCTTGACGCCACATCTCCTGGAAGAGCGCAGTCAGGTGATCCATGAGTTGGGGACCTCCGTGCTTGTAGGCCTCAGCAGGGATTGCGTCCGATCCGGGTGCTTTCCCGCTGGAGAGCTGCTGCACGGCCCTGATGGTTTCCTGGAGAGATGGCGGGAGGTCTAGGTCCGCGTTGGTCTCGACTTGCGGCAAACGCGCGATGGCGGCGTCGGAGATGGCGGAAGGGCGGTTTAGGACGCCTCGGAAATGCTCGGCCCATCGCTGAAGGATTTGCGTCTTCTAAATCAGGAGAGTACTGCCGTCGGCGCTGAGGAGAGGAGCGGTGCCCTTCGTCGGCGGACCGTAGACAGCTTTGATCGCAGAGAAGAAGTTCTTCCATTCGTTGCGGTCCGCGTAGCCTTGGATCTCCTCAGCTTTGCGAGCAGTCCAGGCGTCCTGCATCTCGCGCAGTCGCTGCTGGAGGTGGCGGCGACTGCGGTAGAAAGCAGCTTTTTTGTCGTCAGTGGGGTGATCGACGTAGGCTTTGTGTAGGCGGTTCTTCTCAGCAATCAGATTTCTGATGGCGGCGTCGTTGTCGTCGAATCAGTCCTGGTGTTGGCGGGGAGCGCGACCGAGGACGGCGAGCGCCGTCGACTGGACCGTGTCTCGCAGTTGACACCAGCGGTTCTCCACGGAGGCGTTTTCGGCAGCGGCGGCATCGGCGATGGGGAGGTTGTCTAGCCGTTGAGCTAGCTCATTGCTGAACTGGAGATGGTGAGCGGGCAAGGACAACAAGGCAACATTCAGCTTACCTGGGGGTCGCTTACCTTGAGGTCTCCTGCGAGGCTGTAGGCGAATACGCATCTTCGAGATGACGAGGCGATGGTCGGTCCACCCGTCAGCACCCGCGATCGCCTTCGTCACCAGCACGTCCCGCTGGTCACGCCTTCAGACGAGGACATAGTCCAGCAGGTGCCACTGACGCGACCGAGGATGCCTCCAAGTGGCCTTCTCTCGCTCCGGCAGACAGAAGAACGTGTTTGTCAGGATAAGGCGGTGTTCTGCGCAGGTGCGGAGCAGCAGCAGACCATTGTCGTTTGAGCCGCGGAGACCGTGGGGACCCAGCACTCCTCTCCAGGCAGTATGGTCTGTGCCGACGCGGGCGTTGAAGTCGCCAAGGACAACCAACTTGTCCGCCTTCGGCACAGTCGCCAAGAGGGCGTGCAGGTCCTCGTAGAATTTGTCTCTGACGGCGTCGGGGTTGGTCATGGTCGGAGCGTAGGCGCTGATGATGGTGGCGAATTGCCCCCCCCGCCGGAGAGGCAGACGGAGGCTCATCAGGCGATCGTTGATGCCCTGCGGCATACAGGACAGTCGTCCCACGATGTCGTTCCGAATAGCGAAGACGACACCCGCGTCTCGTCGCTCTGCCCTGGGTCGACCACTCCAGTAGAAGGTGTAACCGGCTCCCACATCTTCCAGTTGGCCTTGTTCGGAGAAACGGGTCTCGGTGAGTGCGGCGATGTCCACCTTGTAGCGCGCCAGTTCTCGTGCCACTAACGCTGTCCTCCTTTCCGGTCGGTTGCTCTGCGGATTGTGTAAAAGGGAACGAACATTCCAGGCTGCCAGAGTGAGCGGACTCACCCTGCCAGTCTGGTGACGACGAGTGGAGCGACGGGAGGGAGATGGAGAAGAAGGTGACGAAGGAGAAGAATAGGCAGAGGAAGAGGTAGGATGAGGAGAAGGAGTATGGTTGTTTTTGTTATTGGTATTGTTGTTTTTTCGATTTTGATTGTTTCGACCAGGATTAGACGTCCGCGGCCCTGGCTAGCCTGGAGACGGCGTGGTACCCAGCATTTTTTAGGCCACCTTTTCTAGGCCCTTCCCCTCATGGGGGCAGGCAGTGCCGCCCCTGAATCGGGCTGCCCATGTGCCTGGTTGGCGCGACCGATCCCACTATGGGGCCACGACTTTTATGTTCGTAGTGGAGAACGGCCGCATATGCCGTGAGTCCGCGGTCTCCGTCGGCGAGGGTGGGCGCGTCTCAGCGAAGGCGATGCGGAGACCCGTCCCGGCAGCAGTTATCCAACGGCGTACCAGGCAGGGCCTCGTCTAGACGATGCCGGCGCAGTGTTTCATCCGACCATGCATCCAGCGGAGTAGACAGTAAACTGTGCACGCGGCACAAGCGCACAGCGCCCTCACCTGGTTAAGCCCGCCGGTCGAGACGGTTGCCCGGGGTGTGGCCGCTGAGAAGAGCCCAGCTACATGGAGCCACAGGTTAGAGTTGGGTGCAAGCAAATGGACGCTAGGCGCAGTCTCACCTGCAAGCAAGCGAGCGACCACTACGACCATCACGTGAACCCACCGCTGACACCCCCTACACCCCTACTGCCATGTAAACCATGGTAGACAAGCACTTCTAGGAGTAAGGTCTGTCGAGTGGGCCTTACGCAAAGGCGTGTTTGCACATTGACTAATTTAGCAAAGTTGGCGAAGACGTAACGGGCAGGTGATGTCGAGCCGTCCTCCCCAGGAAAGAGCTAAAGGCCTTTGATTCAGGGAATAGGAAACTATGAGCCTGATGCGTGAAATACTTTCGACATCATTTACGTCGGCATACTACTACTCTCCACGTAGCCATTCTAGGGTAACAGCAGGGAGGGGCTTAGCGTTCAATGCCTTCGGCTCTTGTCTCGCGACCGAGATCTAGCCGCGTCCTTACTGTCATTATTTTTGTAAAAAATGGTTGACACATTTGACAGGCCTGCTCTTACTCAGTTCTGACTCTTCAGACTGCCATGGGCAAACGCGCCTCTAATTGAGTGTGCGAAATCACAATGGCAAAAATAGACGTGCGTGGCTTGGTTGTGGAGTTAGTGCGGGCGCACAATTCCTTTTCTTGCTTCAGCAACACTCCTTCTGTTTTGTTTGCACAGGTTCCTGGGTGAAGGGTTGTACTCCAGTAGCCGAAGAGGCGTTCAACCTACCCTAGTAGATATCTGAGGATGTTGGTGTTGCTAAGTTGCTGTACAGCAACGTTCTCCTTCCTTCGAGTGCTTGATTGGGAACACTTGTTCCGGGAGAACGCAAACTAATGATCTTCTGGGTGCCTTGCGCGACAGAAGCACACCTACGTACTTTAGTGCTGTTGAGAGTAGATAGGCCGTCAGAGTAGCCTCGGGTAGTTTTACGGATTGGAGTTGGAGCATTGTGATTTAGCGCGTATGAATGGGTCCGTGGAGCTGCTCTAGTGGACGGCACCATCAGGCTTCTGTTAATAAACAGCAGTGACAACGTGCCGGAGAACGAGTGGTGTGTTGTGACAGGATATTGTCGCGCCCAAACAGATTCGACTCATTTGCATTTTGGCGCAGTCCCTTTCGTCCTGTTCACTCCGTGATGCGTGTACACCATGACGGTTCCGGTGGACGCAAATTGACATCTTCTGAGCTGCTGAATGCGTCATTTTTTGTCCCACTGGAGCTCCTGAAGAACACTGCATGCCTATATGTGACTGGCACCATAGTATGCTGACGCGATGTCCAGCACTAGGTGGCCAGGATATGAATGTGATGTATTGACGCCCGCAGAAGTGGTTCGGCGGGTTCGATTACATCCGACATAAAGTAGAGTATACGTCTACATGTCCCAGCGACATACTGCCCTGTGCATACTTGCAGGTGATTTAGTCTTGTGAATGCACAATTTAACTGTTTCTTGTAGGATTCGCACGAGGATGTCTACTTCAACGACGCGGGACGTCTTTAAAGGCTTATGCACGTCAGATAACTGCCTACCGACGTTCATGGAGGATGAAAGACCTAGCGTTTCTGTATTGTCATGTGAAAATTGACAATTACACGCTCGCCACATTTCCAGTGCAGTCTTCTCTTCATCCGCATGAAGGTTGAGTTGAAGAGGGCAGGGTGGGGACGCAGTCGCTGTCTAGGATGAAGGTTCGTCCCACAGGCTATTAC